GGTCAGTGTGTGTCATAGCAACTGGTCCACCGGTTGGTCATAACAGTCACTTAGGCTTTTATAGATAGATAGATTGGCTTGCTTTTTGTTATTGGTAATCATTGAAATTCTAGACTTGTCTTTTGCCAAGTTGAGGTGTATGGTGTGATGTGTTTCTGCTCTGTACCACCATTCATTTGTTCCAATAGATTTTTTTATTTTATTTTGTGATTTTATACTTTTTTCCAACCGTTTGTAGAATATTACTAATTATCCAGAACTTATATTTTCTTAATTTCCAGCTATATTTATATGGACAAAATAATATTTTCTCTATAAAGCTACTTTAAAATCACTTTCAATGTATGTATTAATAACAGGCTTAGATTATTTTTCCAAAAACTTCTTTGTATAATTGGGATGCATCTTTATACAGCAGTACATTTTATACATTGGCAAATATGGTATTTGCATTTCTTGTTAAAGACTTAGAATAATATTCATAGTTATAATTTTAATGTAGCGTAGTAGTCTAGCATTTTAATTTGGGAACAGTTTTATTCAGTAAACTGTTCCCTAATGTTGAATATTTAGGTTGCTTCCAATTTTTTATTTTCAATTTTTAATCATCCTGGCCTCCTCTACAGGTCAGAGTCATGTACACAGAACTTTTACTTATGTTGCAGTTATCTGTTAGAGCAGTATGATCTAACAGGGTAAGATAAAAGATCTAAGCATATTTTATAATTATTATACTTCTGGAACAAGAGGAGTATAAATGAATGTTTTAATTTTCACTAATTATATTGATACGCTTTTCCAGAAGGATAATACCAGTTTAGAGTAAATAGTTACTGGTTTTACCACAACTCTATACATGTGGATGATTAAATTTTTTATTTCATTTACATAGGGGTATTAATTTGCATTTCTGTAGGTATAGTAAGGATTAACATTTTTCCATGTAACCGGTTGTGTTTCTTCTTATACTGATTGTCTGTTTATATATAATTTGCCAGTTATGGAATTTGGATCAGAATGGAGATTCTTTTTTATTGAAATGGCTAAAAAGAAATAAAAATCATAAATTTTATCTTTACCTTTTAGGGGTCTTTTGAATTGTCTCCTCTCTCCTGCACAAGTAAGAAGACCAGGGAACACAAAAGCCATGTCCATGTTCACATAGTATACTTAACACTAATAATAGCTTGGTAAAACAGCTTCATATCTAACTGAGCAAGAGAAAGATAGGTTTTTAGACCAGCCGTGGGCAAACTACGGCTCGTTTGAAATGAATAAAACTAAAAAAAAAAAGACCGTACCCTTTTATGTAATGATGTTTACTTTGAATTTATATTAGTTCACACAAACACTCCATCCATGCTTTTGTTCCGGCCCTCCGGTCCAGTTTAAGAACCCATTGTGGCCCTCGAGTCAGAAAGTTTGCCCACCCCTGGTTTAGACAGTGTTAAGTGGCCGAGAAACCTTCTGATTTGGGGAAGGAGAATCACAGGGCTTTGACTCTGCATTGTTTCTTCTGGCTTCAGTTATAAACTTTGAAAACAATTCTTAGAATGTGGAAAACTGATATTAGTCTAATTTGGAAGCATTCAGTTATGTCTTGCTAGAAAGAAATCATTGGCAAAGGTTCTCCCAGAGCGTTTAATCCAGACAATTTTAATCATAGTTGATTTATTTTTGTTTTAAATCATAGTAAAGGAAAGTCATATATGCCTTTTGAAAATCTGGCCATTTCATTTCTTTCTTTAAAAAAATGTTTTGATATCAGAGAGAGGAAGGGAGAAGGGGAGAGAGATAGAAACATCAATGATGACAGAGAATCATTGATTGGCTTGCCTCTTGGGGATCGAGGCTGCAAGCCAGGCATGTGCCCTGACCGGGAATTGAACCAGTGCCCTTCCAGTGTAGAGGTCAACACTCAACCACTGCGTTATACCAACTGGGCTGGCCATTTCATTTCTACCTATGACAGCTTTTACCAATTATAGGCTATCTACTTAATGTTGATTAGTGAATCTAAATGTGTACATGGCGAAGATTTTAAGAACTAATTTTTAGACAAGTGTCAAGAGGGAGGGACAGGAGGGAAAGTAGAAGGGAAGATATTTCAAGTGAAAACACGATGTCTTTTTTTTTAATGCTATATTTTACTAATATATTACTTGATATTTTTAATTGGCCATCGCCCCTACCCTACTCTTCCCTCCCCTCCCCGCCCCCTTAACTAATTTGCTCTCTTAACTTTAGTACAGCTGAGTCAATAACATCTTACTGGGTGTTTTTATGAACCACCTAATAGATGGTTCTGTATTGCAAGCCTGAGGGTGCAGTCAGTGATTAAACGTAAGATTCTGTCCAGACATATGATAGAGCCACATTAAACTGCTGCTGCCCACAGGCTGTTTGACAGCTGTCTGCCTCGATGTGATATTTAAATCACTGCAAAGCATTAAACA